GACCTGGTCCACGTGACTTGCGCCAGAGACGCCTTATCAAGGGCCTGGGCCCATACCCATGGCTTGACAGCGCGTGACTGCTGCTTGGCCACCGCACTGCAGTCGGAGGTGCAATCAGCCCGCTCCTCCAAGTGCGAGGCGAGCCTTGCGACCGCAAAGCATTCCCCTTCGCACACTGAACTCCCTGGGGGGAGAAGGCCAGTGAGTTGGCCAACCTGGAGAGGGGCACCCTCCGTCCAGGTGAACGCGCAGATGGCCCAGGCCACTATTCTGCCCCTGGCGTCGGCCGCGTAGGGCCCGCCAGAGGCGTCCGTCGAATAGAAAAGACCCTGTGGCCACTTGGCCTCTTTGCAAACACCATCGGCCCGTTCCGACTGTGGGCCCCAGCAGTACCCCTGAAGCTGGGTGGCCTGAGCCGGCATCAGGCCCCGTTCCCATAAGCAGTCGAAGGGGGACTGGGTAGTGAGGCGCTCCCAGTGTTTGGGAGGAGGGGGTGCCTTGCCGCGCCACCATCTGCAGTCGGTGGCGACGTGGTGCTGGGTGAGGGGCACCTTGCACAGGGGGCATTGCTGGCCCGCTTGGACATGCCGGTTTTTCAGAGCTCCCTGCCAGGCCATTCTCAGGGCGGCAGACTTAATCCGCGGGGCCTTTTTCACAAGGGCAGTGGGAACCGTAGTGTCCACACCTGAGGCCAGACTGCTGCAACCCGTTTGGGTGCTGATGGCCTTCCGCCGGGCCTTGTGGCAGGCGCTGGTCAAGCACGAGAGGATGGCGGACCAATGCCTCCGAAGGAGGGGGTTGAGGGCCACCATCCCAGGGTCCTCAGGGGTCCCTGCCAGGGTAGCAGGACATAGGTCAGCGGGGAAAAGCCAACGGTCCGGGGTGGGAGCCACAAGCCCGAGATCCAGCAGATAGGCTATCATGGCCCCCAGCGGTCCACAGACCACTCGCCATCTATCTTTCCTTTGGAGGGTAGTGAGCCGCCACGTGCGGTCCAGCTGCTCGCGGTCAGGGAGGCGGACCATCACCCGACAGAGAGCCTTGAAGTGTTGGGTGACCACTGCCACCCGGGGGTCCTTGACCAGCCAGGCGCCAAGTTCCAGCGCGATTTCAACACTGCCCGTGCCAACCTTGCCAGTGATGGCGGCAGCTTGGAAACGCACCGATTTCATGGTTTTGGGGCTCACCCCTTGGGCCTGGTGCCCCCAGATCCCCGATGCCAGCACGGACATGGAAAACACCCGGCTGCTGGCCTTAATGTTGCGGACCTTAAGGCTGCGTAGCTTGCCCAGTCTGGCATTGGCTTTGGTCCGCCGCGCCGTGGAGAGGCGAGTACACCGTCTCCTGCCAGCTGACAGCGTCATCCCCAGGTCTTTGGCAACACTCTGGATGGGGGGGTCACCCTCTCCCAACTTTCGCCGCAGGGCGCGCTCGGCTTGGGGACTGCTCGCCAGGAAATAGGTCTTGCCGATAGAGACCTGGTACCCAGCGGCAGAAAGCGAGGCATGCAGCCGTCTAAAGACCCTGATGACTGAGTTCGCTGCTTGGTCCGGGCTGTGATGTTCAGTATCTACCGTGATGTCGTCTATCCACGTATCTACGTGGTTGACATGCGGTCCAGAGCAACACTGCCGAATCGGCTCGCCCACAGCGAGTTTACTCAGGGTAGGGGCTAAAGGGCAGCCCGCTATAATTCCGCGGCGAGCGAAAGCAACGGGCGACGCGACTTCGTCGGAAAGGATCACTCTGCCGCCGCGATACGATTCCATAGCGAGGAAAAGCAAAAGATCCGGGAATCCGGCAGTGAGCGCGGCGTCGCAGAGAGTGGAGTGAACCACGGTCTCATAAAAGGTACTCAAGTCGACAAACAAAGAGCACCGATGGAGACCGTCGACGCGCGCGGCCTCGTAGCAGACGCCTCTCCGGAGTGAGGCATCGTAGGTGGAGCGCTCCGGCAAAGCGCAGTCCCACCAAAGCTCAGCGCGGTAGTCGCGAAGCCACGCTTCAACTAGGTGCCATCTGGCCTTCATCCCGAGCTTCAGGAGCGAAGACATCAAACCAATCGGTCTTTCGATTTTCTCGTTCTTAGCGAGCATTGTGAAGATGGTGAAGGTCATCTGCTGTGGCACCTCTCCCGTGGTTTCGATTTCCCTCCAAAACGAAGCCAGGGAGGAAACCTCACCCGGTGTCAGGGCTTTGAGCAGCTCAAGGGACCAGCCATCCGCACCCGCCGCTTTTAAAGGCAGGCGGCGAATGAGCCGCTGGAACTCTTCCCCAGTGACGGCAGGAAGTCTCTGGGCTTGAGCAATGGCCCGTTCTTTAAGGCCCTGGATGGGAGGAGGAGGCTGGCCCTTCGACTCCCAAAGGCGAGCCCACTGCTGCAGTCGGAGGTAGGGCCGCGCTTCTGCCGGTTCGTCCACGAATGGGCGGGCAACCTCAGCTTCCTGCTTTTTGACCGTACGGAAGAGCGGCCGGAGGCCTTTCACAGAGGCCCCAGTAAGCCACTCCTGGTAGTCCCGTGTCTCGCGCGACCTGGACTCTTCGATGGCGGCCTGGCACATGCTCCTGACAACAGCGCGGATCCCAGCCCGGGAGTCACCTTTGGTTTCCCCGTTGCAGAGCACCTCTTCCGGGCTGAGGCCAGAGAGGCCTGCACTCTCAAGTTTGGCCTGCAGCACCTCCGTGCACGACGAAGGAAAGCACCGCCGAAGGGCCTCGAAGCGGGCTCTGCTGGTGCCTGGGTTGTCCCAGGCAAGTTGCAGTTTTTGCCACCAGGCCGCCTCCTTGCCGTACCACGGGTAGCCCTCCTTCGGCTGCATGAGGGGTTTATACACGAAGGGCCGGGTGCACCCACGCCCGCCGGGTTTGGTGAAGTGTTCCACCGCGAACCGGTGGGTGAGTTCGGCAAATTGGCGATTGGCTGGAGTGCCCTGGATCACCTCCGACCCGAAAGCACCAAGCATAGGGCTGCCGCCGGGGGTGAACTGAGAAAAGGTCGAATCCTGAGCGAGGCTGTCAGTTCGACTGATGGCCCCCGTTTGGGGCTTGGTGCTGTCTGTTTTGAGCACCCCAGGAAACGCGGGGAGCTGCCTCAAGGCGACCTGGCCCCCGGGGGTGTTGAAACAACACTCCAGGGCAGCGTGAGGCCGGAAGGGCACTTGCCAACTGGCAGCACAGGTAAGCAGGGAAGCGACACTGGTGGAGACCAGGGCGAAATCTAGACAGTTACCTGTGGCGATCGTAGCCTCCGGTGGGGCGACGATCCGCCCACGAAAGGCCTCTGGCAGGGTGGTCTCAGCCAGCTCCTGCGATGGGAAATTCCAGTCCCCGACCACTATCCAGTTGGAATTTTGGCGCAGGAGGGGCTTCAGACGGGCGAGGACTTCCGGGTTGGGCGCCCCAGTGATGCCAACACCTGATTTAAGGTACAGGTTGACCAAGAGGATAGAATGGCGAACCCTGGGGAGTTCGACCAACAAAAAGCCGATCCCTTCGTCAGAGAGGTACCCTCCTCTGAAACGTCCCTGTTGATGGATGGGCACAAGTGTGGCCAGTCCCCCTTTGGTGGGTCTGGGGCCCTCGACAGGGGGGAGGAAAGTATGGTACCCTCTTGCTAAAGCCTCTATGCGCAGTTTTTTGGCACCTTCATCTCCCAAGTGCAGCTCCTGGATGAGAAGGGGCCCTTTTTGCGGCTGGTGCCATTTGAAAATATCCGGAGTCCACGTTGTGATGTTGGCACTGACAAACACAACAGACTCCTGACATCCCTGGTGCCCCTGAGCCGCGAGGTCGTCCAGGAAAGCCGCGGCGGTGATGGGGTCCAGCCTTGCATGGCATCGAGAATCTCATAAGAGACCCGGTAACCCAAGCTGGCCTCATCGGCTCCTTCCAGGGCCTCAGCGAGGGCTAGAGCCTGGGATTCGGACTTGCTCCAGTCATTGTGCGTCCGAAGCTCATCTGCGAGCCCTGCAGCAAGGGCCTGAACTGGATTTGCCTTAGGCTCGAGGTCAGGGAGGGGCTTGCCCGCTTTCCCCCGAGTGCTAGGCCTTCGCTTCCTGAGTCTCGGAGGAGACCGACCGGGGGGGGTAAGGGGCCGCCGCCCTGCGTCACCAGGGGGGGAAGGAGGCGATGTGGAGCCCTGTTCCTTCGGTCTGGCGCTGGACGGCTCAGGACCGGGAGGCCAGGATTGCCAGAAAAGAGAATTGGCCTGTTGCTGCCTCCTAGCCCGGTGGGCCGCACGATGTTTCCGGGTGGACTCTCAGAGGAAGTCCTGTTGCACTTTACGCCGCCCACGTAGGCCGTGGGCCATGCTGCGAACCCCGCGAGACGGGCTGATGCCTAGGGCCTTGGCCAGGCACAGCACAGGCCTGGCGGGGGATGTGGGTGGGGTGAACCCCGAACCCGTGGGTTCCCCTTTGCCCCTTGGTAGCACCTCCAAGGCACCACTTGGGGCAGGGGGCTCCTGCTCAGGGTCCAAGGCCCATCCGGCTGGAAAAAATTTTGGCCCAGAGAGCCTGGGGAAATCCTGGGCGCTCTGGTTGTCCCGTTGGCGTGAGGACACCCTGCGACGCCAGGGTTGAAGAAAAGGGGGTGGAAAGCTCACTACCCCTAATCGAGAGGCCGTGCCCAGGCCTCAGGGAAAGAGGCTGGTAGGGCGCCTTAAAACCTCGGGTCGGCGCTGGCTCCCAACGCAACGCCGCCGGGGTTTTATGAAAGACTTTGCATCGCGCGCAAAACAGGTGAGTGCTGCCTAAATCGTGCAGATCACACTTGCAAAACTTGCAAAAAACTCTGCTCTTGTGTGACCCCTGGCCAGGGTGGGGTGGCGAACCACTCCCCCTCGGTAAAAGAGCAAGTTGGTTGCTAGAAAAGGCCTGCAAAACCTCCATTGACGGTCGGAGAGAGGCTTGATTGGGCGGCTGCCCTTGCAAAATCTGCCTGGGGGCCCGTGGCCCAGAAAGGGCCAGGGGGAAGGCAGGGTTCCCCTGGCCTAGGCGCCCCTATTCGGGGTTGTCGCTGCCTGCAGCTCCCTCTGGCTTCGTCCCTTCCAAAGGTGTGGGGCGCTTCCCATGCGGATCGGTGCGGGCAGGCCCGTACATGGGGGGCATCCCCCGAGGGAAGTACTCATCAGGCCCTCTGAAACCCACGATGAAGGGGTCCGGGGGGAGGTCCTCCTTCCCGACCAAGGCAGCCTTCATCTTGGCGCGGGTGGCTTCATTGAGCTCATGGCCAGCCTCCGATAGGACCGCCTCCAGGGCGCTGAAGGCGGTGCTAGTGGAGTCCGCCGTCATCTCTTTGAAAGCCTTGGCCGTTTCCTGGATCTCGACATCCTTGGCCTTGATGTCCTTGTCGACCTGGTCCACGTCCCCAATGAGCTTTTCCAGCTCCTGCTTGAGCTTGTCCGCTCGGGCCTGGAGCTTGGCCTTCTTCTCCACCAGATTCTTCATCTGGTTGGTGGCCTTCTTGAAGTCGCTGACACACCTGGTCAGCTTCTCTTGGGGCGTGGGCTCAGGCTGGTCGAGGTCCTCATCGGGTGGAGGGGGGATTCCCGCGGCCTCCAAAAGGGTCTGGACGTGGAGCCCTGCCCCCGCATAGACCACGGCCCTGGCAGCGTTGTACTCCTTCTCGGTCATCCTACCCTTAAGGAGGGACTGGAGGTCCAGTCCTGGCGGGGGTGGCGGCGGCCCTTTCGGCCGAGGTGGGCTGTACCCGACCTCCTGAAAGGCTTTCTGGGCAGCCTCTGGTAGGTCTTTCCAAAGACCCGCGAGTACCGCGCCGACTTTGCCACCTGGAGGGTTCTTTGAACCCTTTCCCTCTCCTTTTCCCTTGCCTTTAGTGCGACCGTCCTCCCAGACAGCTCGGGGGCTCTGGGAGTTCTCGGTACGGGCTTCCTTGTTTGCTTGCTGCTTGGCCAGCTGCTTCTGCCAGTTTCTGCCACAGTACGCACAGTGGGTGTTTTCCCCTGACTCGACCTGGCGTTTCCAGGCCCAGTGGTACCCACAGGCGCACGGGATCCACTTGGGAGTGCGCGGCATGGCTGCAAGCTGGTGTGGAAACCACTACCAGAAGTAGTGGCTGCAGGAAACAAGCAAGGAGTGGTGCCCACTTCCAAGCTCTAGAAGTGCACTCGGCAAGAGGAGGATCGACCTCACCCAGATCGTGCAGTGAACAGCCTACCGGGCCGCCCACCAAACCCTTGCCTGCTGTCAGGCCTACGACCTTTACCAGGTTGGGTTTGGGGCCTCTTTGGAACCTCTAGAAAAGTAGGCCCCAAGGCTGGCCACGACGGCACTGCAACGTCTGAGCCGAAAACTTGAGCCAGAGCAAACTTTTCACACCCCCTCATGCCCGAGAGTCCTCTTCACTTCTCCTCAAAAGTCTTCTTCGCGTTCTTCAAGAGAGCGAATCCTAAGCCCTCTGGATACACACCTGACTCAGGAAGAGGAAGGTAGTAGTGACTGTGTCCCTCAGAACATTGAGACGAAAGTCCCCACACAAACTCTGTGCGGTTAGACACAAACCACCATCTTTTCCAAGGTCGTTGGTCACCCTTTTCAAAGCAACAACGATCCACAAGGCAACCCTGATCCAAATGAAGCTTCTTAGAAACCCTCTTAAACACAGTCTCATCCCACAGTCCTGACCTCTCAGGCCACTCGTGAGAAAGCAGAAGGTTCGGGGAGCCCACGTAAGGCTCCAACAGCTTCTCGATCCTTTTCCAGGACCTCTTGTGAACGGCCAGAGCCGCTCTCCACTTCTCCAGGGCCTTTCCTCCCTTCTTAAACCTCAGGTGCCTTAAACCACACCCAGCAGAGCACGGAGTAGACAAGTGAGCGTATACCTTAACCTCCCCCTCAGCTACGACTCCGAAAACCTCTCTCAGAAGACACAAGCCATTATAGCTCAGAAGATCAACTTCCTTAGTCACCCCAAAGTAGGCGATCTCGGGGACCTTCGAGCAGGCTTTGGACAACGCACTTCCTTCTTCACAACACAGTTCAACCACTACGTACTTAGCTTCACCACGAGCTAGCTTCAACGCAGCGGCTTTCCAGGAAGGCGGAACAGACGGAGTAAAACGTTCGTTTTCATTGGGCTCTTCAAAAGACACGTGCACCTCAGTAGGCTCACTCTCCCAGGCCTTCGGTTCATCTACAAGGCCAGAGGCATCGTACAAGCTAGACAAACTTTCGTTGGTGGGGCTCTTCGTGAGGGCGTCCGCAGGGTTTATCACTCCCGGTATGTGTTCTATGGTAAAACGACCCCTGGCCACCAGCTCCTGAAGGAATGCGGCACGAAGTTCGATGTGCCTCACTTTCCTCAGGAGGGTCTGCATCTTCGATATACAAACCGCCGATTCGGAATCAGAATATCCCTTAAGAACATAATAACCGGTTTCCCTGTCTTTCGGCATACCCTCGCGGATGGTCTCCACAAGCAAAGCAATGTACAACCCTTCACGAGCAACCTCTGTGAGTGCAGCGAGTTCAGCTTCCGCACTGGAGAGTGCGGTAGTCGTTTGTTTCCTGCTGAAGCTTTTCAGGGAACAGTTCTCCCACGTGATGATTCCGCCGCTTACCGAATTCAGACTCCAGCTCGCGTCCGTAAAACAAGATACAGAGGCAGGGTCCGCATCATCTTCCAAGCTCTCCCTTTTGCTCGGAAACCTCTGGACCTTGTGCGGAAGACCCTTGACCCAACGAAGGACATCCCTCATACAGGTCTCGGCAGCCTCGTCAGGAGCTGCTTGGTGGCGGCCCAGAAACCCACACACAAACTGCAGGTCTGGTCGTGACAGAGCCGCCCAGGCCAAACGGCCCAGAGTCCTTCTGTACCTTTCGTGAGCAGCTGGACTGATCAGCTCAGTCTGGCCTTTCTTCAGCAACTCCGCATAGCGGCGTTCAAGGGAAGGGAGCTTTGGTGCAGGTTTGGTGATTCCGTACTCCTCGCAACAAGAACTCAGGTACTGTTCGTCTAGCCCGAAATACACCGTACGTTCCCCTTTCTTACGGCGAAAGATCCGCCGACCGAGAAACGAGACTTCCCCGGGGCAATCTTGAATCAACTCGCCCGTAAGTTTCAGTTTGTATCTCTTACGCAACTCCTCGTAGAACCGGCGCCCCTCAGCTTCATCTTCACTATAGATCAGCAAGTCATCCACATAAAACAACACAATCGTCAAACCCTTCCTCGTAAGACGACGGAATATAGTGGGGTCCAAACTTGCTTCGAAGTTCTGAGAGCGCAAGTATTCAGCCAACTCGCAATACCAAGATAATGGAGCAGACCGCAATCCGTTCATCGCTTTACGCAATTTGACGAAAACTCGTTCCCCAGTCCCCTGGGTGCTCACATTATTCGGCAACTCTACGAATTCTGCCCTCGCTACGGGAGCATGCATGAACGCTACCGAGACATCGCAGGACAACACACTGCCACGTCGGCAGAGCATTGACAGAAGCAATCTCAGACCCTCCAATGAAGTAGTATGAGAGTAGATTCCCTCACTCAAGGTGGTGCCTCCCATAGAGGCATAATCCCGCACGACTAGCCTAGATCTATACAGTCCCTTCTTCTTGACCGTGTTTACCCACCTGCTAGTCAAAACTCGCCTGCCGTTTTCCTTAGCAAGACGGCGAGCTTCGCGCTCAGGGATCACTTCCCCAACCTTGAAGGATTCCAACTCTTCCAACTCAAGCTTCATTGATGCGTAAAGGAGATCGGGTTCTAGCTTCTCTCCCGAAGTCTCAGACACAGCGTTCTGGGGAACAGCACACCTTATCTTCGTACCCCCAAACTTCAAATCAAACGACTTTGCAACTGCAGTGGAGGTGGCTCGCAGGTCAGGTCCTCGAAACCGGGACTCAAGATAGTGATTCGTGAGCCAGTCTATTTCCATATCCCCCTCACTGTTCACAACCTCCTGGTTCTCAGGCGCTTCCGACGGAGAATAGTCAGCAAGCTCATCTTCAATCATCTCTTCATCACCATCTTCATCCATTCCCACACCAGCCCCCTCATCAGGAGCATCATCACCAGGAGCCTCTAACGGATCAAACAGTATGGGCCTCTCGGGGTCCTCAGTGTCCTGCAGAAGAGGCTTAGCTAAAGATAGCTCTTCCAAAATCTTGGCATCGTAGATGTCACCTCCCTGAATCATTCTGGCGACGGGGAATATATCTATTTCCCTGCTTCCGACAGGGACGGCAAAGATACCGCCACCTTTGGCGTGCACTGGTCCCAGATAAACCGCTTTCACGGTCCGGGCGCCCCTGAACTTCTCATGGTGCGCCTTGGACTTACTGACCTGAGCTTGAACCAGACACCCGAACGGTCTCGTCCGAGTTCGGTTCACAATCTCCTCATGCAGTCGATCTATGCTAGTGCTCGAATCCCCGACGCTAGTACACCAGAGGTTATAGCACCTAGCAACATAGAAAACACAGGCTTGCCAAAGCAAACCTCCCAAAGGTAACTGATACTTCCCAAGCTCAACGGCTTCCGTTTCCTGCTTCACCTTAGCAACCTCTTTCTCCAGGTCCATCCAAACAGACCAGAAACCCTGTTTCATAGTTTCAACCTGCCTCTCAATCGATCCTTTCGACTGGGGCCGATACCCCGGAACCACGTCAATCAATGTTGCGCTGGCAGGGCTGCTATCGCACTTGGTGAGTTTCTCGGCAAGGGCTCCAAGAGCCGCTTCTTGGTCCATCCGAAATGTAACCGCTTTACCGACTAATCCCATTTCGCGAATCACACGGTTGATGTTGTGGAGCAGGTCAGGGTCATCGAGGTGCATCGCAGGAAGAGAGACAGTATACTTAGAACCGAGGTGCATCATCAAGAGTACCCTCAGTTTTCCGAAATAGACCGATGGTCTGGTTCTCTCTCTGCAGCTTCCTCCTCAAGCGACGCGCCGGAACGCGCCCTTTCGAAGAACAACACGCTTCACAATTGGAATCAAACGGAAAATGCCCTCGGCTCCGATGATTATACAACGAAACAGAAGAAAGAGGAACCCTCAGGTCCTCCTCGTCCTCAGGTCCAACCGGGTCGTCAGGTGGTGTTGGACCCTTTTCTTTTCGAGGTTTCTTGGAAGAGCCAGGGGCAGATCCTAATGGTTCAGGGTCCTCATCAAAGATTCCTTCAGGATCTAAAGGATTACGACTCGAAGCTTCAGGTTTTGAGGAAGTTGCGGGAGCAGGTCTTGAGGAAGGTTCGGGGTCTAAGTCAAACGGATCAGAACGTGTACCGGTCCCCGGC